AGCTTAGATGTGTGCTTAAGCATCTCAAACACTCAACTTGTTTCAATAAGGCACAGTATCATCTGGCAAGATAACAAGTTTTTATATTTGCTATTTTTTTTCTTTATAACATTCATAGCTCAAATACTTTCATGGTGCTTACGTGAGCCAGAAACCTATGAGAAAAATATAACATTCAAATGCATTAAACAATTCCAGGACCCTCAGCTTAGTCAGAGGAATGTGGAAAATAAAGTATTTAGATTTCTTTGTTGTACAACTGATTCAGGAGAGTATAACTGTTTGGATACAGAAGTATTTTGAAAGAAGCAAGTGAGCCCACATAATTTTAGAATACAATCAAACGGGATTACTTCCATGCTTGAATTTATCTGGAAGGCCAAGCACAAGCGAGATTAGATGCTCATCAATCTATTTTACCATTACAGTAATTTGTTCATCTTGAGGGCCAAATAATGTAGATTATTCCTGTGCATTTTAAATACCAAATGAAAGTGGCATTTGTATATTAACCCAAATTATTCGACTGAAGGGCAGAAGAGTTCCAAGACATGAAGGAAGGAATTGTATATGCAGATGAGTATCTAGTTTAACCATTCAGAGTTTAGGCCATCCAACCCTCAGTGCAAGAACGCCTTTTGAGCTGTAAAGTAAAGAAATAATAGGAAGCTCAGTATTTTTATCTATGTTCTGCAATTGATATGCAAGCCCAAGAAGATCATAAAAGACTCTAAAAAAAGCAGTGAACTGGTCTCCTGTGGGATCGAAAGCAATACAGTATGGTCAACCAGCACAGGTATTTCTAGCACTGCATTGCTTTGCATATTGTTGTAATTTTCTTAGACAATCCATTAAGATTCCTGCCTTTTTTCGAATTGAAAATTACCCTAATTAGTGAAGCACTTTCTCCTATGTGCTACCCAGGGTGCTCAACCAAAGCAAAAAAAATACCACCAAAACCTAATGGAGAGGGAGGAGCCTGCTCCAGTTCCCTTCTCCTTGAGATGCCTAGAGAGACCAAGAAATAGGCTAGATTGGGGGAGGGTAATGCACTTGATTTTCATGAAATCCCTAGCAAATGCTTGGAGCAAAGCTGATGGAATCTCACGCTGAAGCAATTCAAAACTGATCAGAACAGACGGAAGAGAGGCAGAGAAATGTGCTGGGCCTGGAAAAAAAGAACAAAGGAGAAGGTACCTCCTTTCAGCAGTTACCTTTTGCTCCAATTCTCTCTGGGCTGTTAAGTCCCTATAGCGGAATGCACCACTTAAAGATTTCAACCAATACATACTCCCAGTCAACTCCACATTAATTCATACTACACTGAGCCAAAGCTGCCGTGGTTAACAAAGCTCCTGGCTCATTCTGTGAGTCACACGACCAATACCCTCAATTACAGGAGAGGAGAACTTTGAGAGATGCAAGACATTTTTCTTTAAGCCCATGATGCAACAGGATTTTAATCTTCCTTAAAGACCTTTGGACATCTACTTCAATATCAGCACTGCAAGCTGAACTGTTTTCTTTTCCTGTTTTCTCTCCACAGAATCAGGGTGGATTACGTTTTCTGTCTTGAAAACAGAAATCTTATTGCATTCAGGTTAACATTTCTTATAACTGGATCATATAGTTGGACAGACAAATGTAGTCACACAATGAACGTGGGGAAAAAAGGGGGAATAGTACCTGTAGAGAAGCTGCATGTAGAGCAACATAAAAATTAAAAGTGCTGTTTCTGATACCAAAGGCAATATTTGGTCATATATACTTCAGAACAGAAATATTCACTGAAAAATTACAGGAAACTTACAGAAAAGTAAGAAGAATAAAAGAGTAGAAAAAGAGTAAACTTGCCAAGAAAAATGAAGATGTGTCCAAGGGACGAGACTAAGTCACTCCAAAGTCTGCTATGAACAGGGCTGTACAGCTCTGCCTTCCAGGTTCATCACTCAAAGGCAACAGAGAGAACTGACACTGAAAGAGTCAGTATAACATTTAGTAGTGAGAGCTGATCCTTGAATGCTGTGCTGACATAATCCACAATACCCTTGGATCCTATCAGCACAACTGAAGACACTGTGCAGTGATGCTCTTGCAGTGGTCAGTCCCGTAAGACAGGATTTATTCCCCTCTGGCAAGGGGACCTGAGCTGCTGATTTTGAGCCTGCTAGAAATTGATTTTAGCACAATCAATTACAGTATTTGTTTTTTCTCTCTAAAACACATGTATTTCAATACAGGCAATGTTACAGAATTATCACTCAAAGCAAAAGCATTGTTTCAAACTTGGCACCAATGGAAAGAGTACCATAAGTAAAGATGACAAACATTTGGCACTAAATCCCTTAAGAAATGCCTTTCTCTTCAATTTCATTGACTTTCTCTGATGATCTACAATTTAAGAACATTGCTGGGGGAAAAAAATGGAAAAAATAGCTATTGACCATCTCAAAGTTGATGTACAGAGAAATAACAACAATTTTTTTTGTTCTTCAAGAATAAAAAAGGTCTACACATGAGAAAAGAGGAGTATTGTCTCCATCACTTTGCTCTTGGGGAGGTTTCCAAAATCACCTGGAGATATGACAGATCTGAGTGTAAATGCACAGAAGACATTTGAAGGAAGTCAGAAAGAAAGAAAGAAACAGCAATTTGTTTTATGGAACCCCATCACTGGATCCACATAATCTCAAATATTCTGCAGTCTGCATTGTCACTGTGACCACGCAGGCCTAGTTGGCCCTGTTCCATGAGCACGTCTGAACTCAGTTAGTTACCAGGCTGTACCAGTGAGCAGCACTTCCCTGGTTACCCAGAGAAGCACTCAGGTTTTTAACTTTCCCTTTTCAGTGCTCAGACTCCTAGAAATTTCGCAGCAAACTGTATCACAAGTGCAAATCTTTCAAGTTGTTGTTTGGGTAGCATAGAAAGCACCAAAAATGAAGCAATGCACTAAGTGTTTTTATGTGGAAGTTCAGAAAGCTACAAGAACTCAAAATTTACTTTGTGGGTAAGAAGAGAGCTAAAAAGCCTTTGCTTGATCCGTGTGAATATTGGGATGGAGATACATACAGTGACAACCCATTTCTGGTGAAGTCTTTGCTTGGACCAACACTTTGAAATAAGACTAGTTAAATTCTGCTCAATTCAAACACAAGTAAATCCTGCATGTACGTAATCTGCATCTTAAGATTTCTAACTCTAAGCACAAGATAAAATATGGCTATTATGACCTAATAGGTGAAAAGTTACTTCCCTAAGGGCTACAATAGAAGCCACTCTGACCACACAAAAGTTTTGAGGTCATCCAGTGCAGGAAATACACATCTCCCAAAGCTGCTGCTGCTGTCTGGCTAACAGAGAACATCACGTATGATCTCTATAATCTTTTCTTCTCAGCTTTGCAGGCCTATTGTTGACATGCATGAAACTTCATGCCAAGAGTTATCTGGACTTTCATTTTAAGCTTGCAGGAAAGCACAGAATCTCTTCGTAGGGCAGATGAGCAAAGTGGCAGCAAACTGTAAACCAAGATTACACAGAACCATCTGTTCAGACAGTGAGCCTGTTGAGAAGTCTTATCCCACATAGACTGCTGGTCTGACACAGGCCAGAGTCTACATATAACAGGTATAAAACACTCTTGTTGCATTCCTAATTCACGCTTCCAAAACTTCAAGCAAAACCTAAGTTTGGTTCGTGTCCCAAGTCCAAGGTTCAGCTGGAAACGCACACATTTTTGACAAGACATAGAGCAGACTCCTACAAACTTTCCGAAGGAGAGAGCGGATGGCTGCACATCGCCAGCTCAGTCCGGCCTCGCCACAACATGGAGCCGCTTGAACTCTGTAACCTTGTAAACAGCGGCCGCCTTTCCTCCAGCTCAGCCTTCCTGCCGAGGCGCCACGGCAGCCGGGCTATCGGGAGCTGAGCTGTCCCTCCCTTCAGGAGCTAAGGAACACTTTTAGTTCGCCTTTAGTAAATACCGCCAGCGCAGCGGCAATGGGCAGATGCGGGAGAAGCGACTGGACCCAGCGCAGCTGGAGCTGCCGCACCGGCCGAGCTGGTCCCGCTGACAGCGGGGACAGGGGCTGCAGCCAAACCCCGCCGAGCCCCCCCGGCCCGGTCCCCGGGCCAGCCTCGCACATCCTGAGCAGTGCTGCGCCCGCTGGCTCCCGCCGCACCCGGTGCGCCCTCAGGGAGCCCTTTCCCGGCGGGCCGCTCCCTCGGGAGCGCGATGCCGGGCGGAGATCGCCACTCCCGGCGCTGGAGGCGGCGAGTTCGGCGCCGTTTGCGGGCACGGCGAGGCTGGGCCGCAGTGGCCGGTGGGGGACGCGAGCGGCTGGGAGGCGGCGGCCCGGACGGGGCGGCGCCGGTGCCCCGCCGTGCTCTTACCCAGCATGAGGGGGCTGAGGCGCCGGGCCATGCCCTTGGACAGGTCGTACACATAGAGCTTCACGGGGTGCAGCGCCAGCGGCTCCTCCATGGGGGCGCGGGCGCGGCCGCCGGGCGGCAACCGAAGCCCCTGCAGACAAGGCGGAACGGCCCCTCCCTCCGGGAAGCGGAGGGGAGCGGGGGGAACAGGTGGCGCCGGTGCCGGTCGCGGGTGCGGCGGCACCAGCCGGGAGGTGACAGACGGGGCGGAAGGGGCGACCCTGTCTGTGCGCATGCGCGGCCACCGCGCGCCGGCCGGGCCGCCCCGTCACTGCGCGGCTCTGTGGGGGGCGGAGCTATGGCTGGGGGGCGGGGCCGGACAAGACCTCCCGTCATTGGCTAAGGCTCGGGGCCGAGAGCAGCGTGGGCGGAACTCCATCCCTCGGCGTTCCCGCTGCAACCAATCCTCGCTGGGGGGAGGCGTGACCACCTGCGGGAGAGGCGGGGTGGAGCGCTTTTCCCCTCTCACCATTGGTCAGTGTGGCTATGGTGGGCGGGGTTTCCCGGTGAGTGGCGGTTGTTTGGGAGTGGGCGGGGCCGGCGTCGCGGGCGCTGCGTCTGTCGCAAGTCGCGCGCGCCCCGCGGGCGGCGGTGCCACGGGAGCTATGGCGGGGTGGGGGTCTTTCTACCGGGGTGAGGGGCCCGAGGACGACGAGGAGGAGGAGCAGCAGCAGGAGGAGGGGGCTGAGGCGGTCGGTAAGGGCCCCTCACCCGCTCACAGAGGGCAGCCCGGGGCCCCGGGCCTGCCCGCGGGGGTCCGTGGGCGGAGGGGTCGCTGCTAAAACTGTTTACTCCCGTTCTATAGCGGACCACAGGTTCGCGGGCCGGGACAGCCTCATCTTTTTGGTGGATGCCTCCAAGGCCATGTTTGAGTCCGACGGGGACGCAGAAACGCCCTTCGACATGACCATGCAGGTTAGGTTCGATGAACTGCTACTTACCAAAGACAAAACTTTCGCACCCTTTACTACGAGTTACTTTTTTCATATTTCACCCTGTGTGCGTTTTTTTTTTAGTGCATCCGGAATGTGTATACCAGCAAAATTATCAGTAGTGACAGGGACCTGTTAAGTGTCGTGTTCTATGGTACAGAAAACAACAAGAACTCAGCAGATTTCAAGCACATCTATGTTCTTCAGGAGCTGGACAATCCAGGTAAAGTTATATGAAGATTGTGTAAAGATGGTGTGAGGAAATTTGTGTAGTAGTAGCATTGTCAGTAACTGATCTCTTTAAAATCAGAGTTATTGGATAAATAAGTTCTTGTTACTGAAATCTGTTGATAGCAGTGGGGATAGATTTAGAAATTTATGGAAATCGTAGAAACTTTGTGAGAACTTAGCTTTTTCTCTTATAGTTGGTTCAGATCCTTTTTCTGTGTCTTCTGTTTTAATGTGATGGTTCACCTGCTGTCTGCTAAACCTAGGAGGATCTCAAGAGAACTCACGAAAGCCCATCATGTGTCTGCTGCACTTCAGAAAAGTGCATGTCCATGCTAAGGCACATGGATTCCAGCTGATGATGAATATCACAGAATGGCTGAGATTGGATGGGATTTCCAACCCTCCTGCTCAAGCAGGGTCAGCTAGAACAGGTGGTCCAACATGCTAGCCTGTTTGGGGTGTTCCATCTCCTGTTCTGCAATTCTCGAATTTCGCTCTTTCGTTTTCTTAGAATGACATAGCATATGCTTGATAACAAGTGCCAATTGCTGAATTGGAAAAGGCAGTAGGAGGAGTGCAAAGAATTGCATGCTAGTGGAGTCTCTTGATGGTGGAGTCTTGTGGGGGGATTTTGGCTACAACTTTTAATAGCAGCCTTTATCTCTGAGGAGGTTTGGTTTAATTTTCTTCACTAGGGGGTGCAGGTTTAATGACGCAGAGGCAGCAAACTGCCATATGCTTCTTGTTCATCCTTTTTCCTCCTCCTTCCCTGCTTACTCCTTTCCCCCTTTCAGAAGCAGTAGCCTCACCATGCTGATAAAAACAGCACAAGTGAAAGGTGAGTATTGTTAAAAAGGAGGAGAATTGTATATTTTCTGCCCCTGGAGAGCAGTGTGCTCTAGAGAAGGAGGAAATACTAGAATTAGTTATTATGGGGTACGTAATTATGAATACTTATGCTATTAATTAAAGGGCAGCTAAGGAGATGAAAATAAAATAGTAAAGGGAGGGGAAGACATTTTCAGATGAGATTTCAAAAGTGCTATGGAGTTTAAGTGAAGGACAAAGAAAGCAGCTCTGCAGAATGCAGTAGCTCCCTTTGTAGCATAGTGGGAGAAAACAGACAATGTGCTGTTAGGCAGGTGAGAAATGGAGTGGTTGGGCCGGAGTAATTGTCAGAGCTGTAACAAGGTCTAAATGTTGCTGTGCTCCCTGTGGTGATCTATAGGGCTGTGTCTGACCTGTGCGTGGATTCTCTCTGACATGAGAGGCAAGGAAGGAGGAGAAGCGCTCCACCTTCCCAGCATGCCGTGGAGATGCCGGGTGTATTTCAGGCTCTTCTCCTTTCTCTGGTGGTGCAACAGTCTGCCGTGCCTCTGCAGCTGGTATCATTGCTGCCTTTCCTGCTGACCCCTTGTCCTTTCAGTGTGAAGGGTTTGCGATACTTTGATCCCTGCCTGTTTCCTTTCCCAAAAGGAAGAGTCCACAGTAGTATCAGGGCACTTTGTGTCCTCTTGGCCCTCGTAGGTGCTTTGTGATACTGCAAATGCTGAACAGTTTTCTCAGCCAGGTGTTGCAAGGGCACTGCCACAGAGGTGCCAGGGACAGTACTTGGACATCAGCAGGACTCCAGGTGCATGTTTAGAAGAGCTCATGGTACATCTTTCAGTATTTCTAATGCATGTGAGTGCTGTTACCTCCTTAGGTGCAAAGCGTGTTCTAGAGCTGGACCAATACAAGGGAGATGAAGGACGAGCACTTTTCCGTGAGAGCTTTGGCCACAATGCTGACTATTCCCTGGGGGAAGCGCTCTGGGCCTGCTCTAATCTCTTCAGTGATGTCCGAGTCAGGCTGAGCCACAAAAGGATCATGCTCTTCACCAACGAGGATGACCCTCATGCCAATGACAGTGCTAAAGCCAAGCTGGCCAGGACCAGAGCTGGTGATCTGAGAGACACAGGTCATTATTTTCCCCTTTAATTTCAGGCAGTAAAACATGTTGTATCCTCGCAGCAGATGTTAACTGCATTGCAATTTTGTGATGGAAAAAGAATGTAAAATCATCAGAACTGGGGAATCTTTCTGAAGTTTTCTGAAAATTAGAAAGTCTGCTATCTGATCTGCTATCCAATAACTAGCACTTATTTTCTAGGATCTCTTCTTCTGCTTTGATAGCATAAATTTGGACATGAGAGGGCCAAGAAAAGCAAACTTTTTGTTGTACCATTTTCCAGGAAGGGAATAATAACACAAAGTTAACACAAAAGAAAAACTACTTTAATAGCTTCATTTTGAATTAGCTGAAGGACATCAACCTGAGCTCAGAGATTAGACATCAAGTGCTTCATTAGTTCAACTATGCAGCTGAGATAACCAGTGTTTTTGGAGTTCAGCAGATGTCCTGGATCTAGTAGCTGTGAGGCTTCCTTAATCCTGAGGCCCTATAACTAAAGGAAAGGGGATTTTCTGAACTCATTACTTACTTCTGTGCTTGAGGTAAGATTATGTTTTATAAGAGCTTGTCAGAGCTGTTTCATACACAGTACTGTCCAGATTCTTAATTAGGGAGGAATGATTTTCCATGCTGCATTATTTTCACTGAAATTAAAGAATGCCTTTTGCCTTTTTCCCTAGAAAATTTTGTATCTGGTGCAGATGACAATTTGGAGCTCATTCTTGCTTAAATTATTTGGGTAGATAAAGCAATCTGGGAGTGCTGAGAAACATAATAATGTAAGAAAAAAGCAGTTTCCGATCCTCCTCTTATCTCTCACATTGTTTCTAGGTATCATCCTGGACTTGATGCATTTGAAGAAGCCTGGAGGGTTCGATATCTCTTTGTTCTACAGGGATATTATAAATGTAGCAGAGGATGAGGACCTTGGGATCCAGCCCAAGGAGTCAGAGAAACTGGAACATCTCATGAAGAAAGTACGAGCAAAGGAGACAAAGAAGCGGGCTTTAGTGAGGTTTGTGCCTAGTTATGATACATCGTTCAGTGGAGGTACCTGATGTCATTTTTAGACTGCGTCTCACCTTCCTCTTCTGAAATTATTGGTCCTTAACGGCATCAGTGCTTACATTCCTCAGTCTTAATTCCTTAGTTCAAGATTGGTGTTTCTTCCATAGCTTGCAAGGATATTTGTCCTTGGTGGATGAGAAGAGCAGAGAGTGAAGCTAGGTCTCCTTTTTTCTCTGTGTGGCATTTCCTGTATTGAGCTTGAAATGATCATTTGTCAAAAAATTATATCATTGCCAAATACCTGAAAATCTGCAACATGGAAAATAGTTTATAGTGCAACCTGATTGAAATGAGGCTTTTTTTTGCTAATGTTAACTTTAAAAAATTTATCTGAATGTGACTAGTAGGTTTTTTGGCCCATTATTAAATAGTTATATGTGGCCGTTCTGTCTAGGCACTGTGGATTCATACAGCCTTGACATTTCTGATCTCCTACTGAAAGATTAGAGATACTTACAGAGGATTAAAGGGATCTTGACGAAGCAGATAGAAAGTATTTTTGGAACCACGTACTTCGTAACAGTTGTTTTTTTAATGAGTGATTTCATAGCAGAATGATGTGGAAGCACGGTAAGGGAATGAACTTCAAGGCCTAGTGTTTATTTTTTTAATAAATATTTTAAAAGTATCCCAAACTGAGTTGCTGCCATTGCCATTCTTCTCCTGCTGACAGCTTTATTTTGCTTTTCTGAGAATGTTTATGAAGTTTTCAAATAATTGAGGAGGAAGAATTTTGTACCTGTGATACCTTTTGGAAGAGAGAAAGTAGCATTCATAGTAATTCACTTTTCTGCTCTCGGAACTTGAAGATGTTTCTGATTTTAAGCCTTTACTTCTGAATTTTTCTCTGACTTCTGATTTAATTTTTTCTTGAATCATGGTATTGTCTTGATGGGGTTCTTTTGGGGGCTTCTTCATTTTGCATGAACAGCTGTGAGAATTCGGAGTTCATGTTACGTTAAGCACAAGTGGGGTACCCAAATGTGAACTTATCCTGTACTCCACTTGAGCATAGCTGCCCTTCCGAGTGAAAAAAAGGTAAAAGAAATATGGTAAATTTTTTGTGTTTAGATGATATTTATGACCAGAAGTGACAACATTGCAAGAATATCTTCATACAAGTGAGATTATGACTCAAGTGATAGTATGTTTCCAAGGATACCTGTGATTTTCCGGGAGGAGAACCGGAGGAAGTCAGAGAAAATAAGTTATCTGTGGAGGTGACTTTCTTTTGCAATAGTGTCTCAAGTCTGTATCTGCTTTTTACACAGGTTAAATCTGTATCTGAGCAATGATCTGGCACTTTCTGTTGGTGTTTACAACCTTATTCAAAAAGCTTATAAGCCATATCCAGTGAAGCTTTATCGAGAAACTAATGAACCAGTTAAAACAAAAACAAGAACGTTTAATGGAAAAACAGGCAGTTTGCTCCTGCCTAGTGACACAAAAAGGGCTCAGGTAACGTATTGATTATGTGCCTTTTTTTTTCCTGTCTCTATGATGTGTGTGGGAGATGCCTATTTTCTTGCTGCTTTTGTTTGTATTCCACTTTCAAGATGAGATGCAGAAATACCTGCATCTCTATGCCCCTGGGGACAGCCTGGTCACATTGTGAGCTCTGTAGAGTAGGAGTGGGTTGTGTCTCTGGCCTGACTGTCAGGGGAAAAGCATAGCTGCTGGTGAAAGTGCACTTAGGAACTCTGGTATTTTCTTTCTTTGAGGCAGAACCAGGTTGTCAGAGCCTGACCTTATGTGACCCTGTGTGATCACTGCTGCTGTTACCTGTTGATTCATTAGGAACAGATTTTGTCCGTTTTGAAGTGTGAATCACAGGGGGAGTTGGAGTGGTTTTGCAAACGAAAGGCATGTTACCTTTGGAGTTTTTTGTTACATTTTTCTTTACTTTGCCTTCCTGCTTGATAGTTTGGCTGATGTAAATTGAATGTCACATTCCATTCAGGCACAGCCTTATTTCAAAGCAGGTTATGCAGTTGCTAGGTATACTGTCACAAGTGCATTTTTTGTGTCCTTCCTTGCTAAAGGCTCTTAAAGGTTTTGTCTTAACATGAAATATTAAGTTTATTTATACTGGACATAGTTTCTTGAAATAAAGTACAGGAGATAAACAGAAAGCTTTGCATTAAGCCCTGATGTCTAACTTCAGCAGTTGGACTATAATATGGTTTTGATTTTGGATGCTTGAGCAATGCTTTAGAAGTGTTGTTTCTTAGTCACTGTTTCTGCCAGGAGTAGGCAGCTGACGTGCATCTGCTGAAGCAAGTTTAGAATTGGGCAGGACCTCTGAAAAGGTCTAACCCAGCCCAGAGCAAGACTCACAAAACCAGGTCAGGTTGCTCAGAGTTTGTTTGGGACAGCTCTGGAGAACATCAAAGATGAGATGTGACAGCCTCTCTGTACCAGGGCTTACCCATTGTCTTAGTAAAGTGCGTTTTGCTAATGTTCAGGTAGACTTTCCCTTGGGATAATGGTCACAGTCTGGGACTTGCCGTTTTGGTGTGCACTAATGACAAGTTTACTCTGTCTTGTTCTATAACCCTCTTTTCAGTAGTGGAAGACAGCACTTGCATCCTCTTCCAATCCCGTACCCTTCTCCCCCAGTTTTCTTTATACTGGCAGCACTATCATCTGCTCTTCCCTGGTGTAGACATATGGAAACCGACAGATTGTGCTGGAGAAAGAAGAAACAGAAGAATTAAAACGGTTTGATTCTCCGGGTTTGTTTCTGATTGGCTTCAAACCACTTTCAGTGCTAAAACAACACCACCACATCAGGCCCTCTCAGTTCATCTATCCTGAAGAGTCCTTGGTGAGGGGTAAGTAAAGATGGTAAGAGAAGATTCACCACCTTGCATTAGGCTAATGAGCTGATTCATTGTGTGTTTGAGTGGGGATCACTGAGTGTAGAAGCTTTGACTAACTTAAAAACTTGCTGTTGTTAAGAAGAACTGAATTAACTGTTACTGCCTTGCTCAGCTGCAGTTATTTGTTGTTCTCTCCAGTAGCAGAAGAGCCAATTTGGCTTCATGTTTCATCCATCATGACAAGCAGCTAAAGATGTAGTTCCAAAACACTTGGTTTTGTCATTCATGAAAGTGGAGGATCCTAGTACCTGAAAAGAAGGCAAAAATGGTTTAAAAAAAACACAGATGAAAAACAAACCTCAAACCAGTGAAAATAATTGCTGTTTTTAAGTCCATATTTGCTAAGACTGGAAACATGATACTCAGGAAGTATAATTAAATTAACAGCACTTTATGGTCTTGTAAAGAGAGAAGGAGAGGATGTTTAGGACTGCTTGTTTTCCCCTTTTTATGTGTATACATAAGTCTACTTATTTAAAAATCCCAAGCTGCAACTATGAAGAAAAAATCTCTAGCTCCTCAACCTACCAGTGGATAAAGTGGGCTGAGTTATGACCAGATGCTTTGCAGCATCTGACTAAAGAAGAACCTTTTTGCTAGCTTCTCCAGCTTTGCAGTTTCCTGACTCAAACACATTACTTATATGTCAGTCTTTTCCTGACCACCATATCTGGTAAAATACAAAGCAGATGTGTGCCTCAGGAGGAGTACTGAAATCTGAATTCTTAGTGTGTTACTTCTGCAAAAAGGTCCTATGATGTGTTGCTACTCTGATATCCCACCAAACAGAAAAAGACTTTGTAGATTGTTGTTTCCAAATTTCACTGTATTTCATTGCTCAGATGCTGGTGATTTTGTTTCTTTCACCAGAGCTCTCTCTGCTCCGTCAGGACAGACACACTGACATTGTCCATTTCAAGGGTTCTGCCTTCCAAAATTCGATTTTTACTTCTGAAGTATTGCAAGCATTTCAAAGAAGTCCCAGGTTTTGAAACTGTAATATCTAGGGTTATATTCCTGAACAGAGGAGGAAAGCTGTCAGTCTGACCAATCTGCTCTTTACTTTGCAGGGAGTACAACACTATTTAATGCCTTATTGATGAAATGCTTGGAGAGGGAGATGATGATGCTGTGCAGATACACTGTTCGCCGGAACACTCCTCCTCACTTTGTGGCCCTGGTTCCCCAGGAGGAAGAGGTGGATGAGCAGAAAGTGCAGATAGCCCCTCCAGGTATGGGAAGGGATGCCTCCTTTCCCTATGCAATTGGATGCAGTCAACATAATGGCGTCCTGTATTGAGTGAAAATAATCTTAGCATCACTCCCCTTAAAACTGGGGAAAGCGCTTTCCAACATCCATTTTCTTCAGTTTTGTTGTTGTAAGCATCTGATGTTGAATCTATTTTTAAAACCCCAGTTGCATCAGTGCTTACTCAGGTATGACCTGGCTACAGTGTTTTCCCTGCCTCCTACATCTTTTTAGCAAATTCAAGGAACTGACATGAAAATTAAAAGCCTTTTTTTCTGTTTGGTGGCTAAGCAGAGTGTCTTTCCTTGAATTTTATTGTATTCTTGAATAGATTTTGAAGTATTAAATAAATAATCTCACATACTGAGCCTCACACCTCATCAGCCGAGTGGGGGATGATTAGGGAGCAAAGGCAGACTCCTGCTTTTTTGCATTTTCTCACCTCTTTAAGTGGAAAATCATCTTTTGGGAGAATGTAAAGTAGGGAAATAAATCTGATTGTGTACAAAGTGAAGCATTTCAGAATAACATGTGGACAATATATAATTTTCAAACAAGTCTTTTTCAAACTCATATTTTGTAAGGTGGGCTAGTTAATCCATGTAAAAAGCAACTCACCAGTATCCAACTCTTAGCTATGCATTTAGTTTGAATCTCTTTTACAAAACCATTAGTGTGATGTTGGTTATATACATTGAGATTGGGATTGTGTGTCATGCTGTAGGTACTGGGAAGTATTATAGATTGCTGTTGTTTACAACAAAACAGCTAGCTGGTTTGGAGTCATCAGACTTAGATAATAACCCTCTTGGTCTTTCCCATAAATTATTGTTTTGAGGCTGGCCTTCTGTATAACTGTTCTCTTGCTCCTTCTCTTCTGTATAGGTTTCCACATAATTTTTCTGCCATATGCAGATGACAAAAGGAATGTTGATTTTACAGAAAATGTGCCAGCCAGTCAAGAGCAGGTGGACAAAATGAAGGAAATAATTCAAAAACTCCGGTTCAAATACAGGTGCGTGGAGATAAATAATGTGGAGGGGAGTGGTATGGGGAAGAAAGCACAACTATTGCTTGCTCTATTGCACACATTGTTCAGCTGTGGTGTGCTGAATTTGATGAGATTTTGATGTATTTTGAGAGAAATTGCTTCTCATTGCAGTAGCTTTGTCCAAACTTTATTCTTAATCAGTCTGGATACCCAGCCACCATAATGCTTTATGTAGCACGTTCTAGAGTTCTTTATAGAATTTCTCTTGTTCTCTGGGCTGTTGTCATTTGTTGCAGAGGTATCACATTTTATTGTGGTTCTGAAACTCTATTGCAGATCAGACCTGGATCGTTTCAATTAGAGCACTTTAGAAAGAAAGCTAGATCATTTTTTCATTATAGCTAGGATAATGCTATGAAGTACTTTATGGGAGAGTTTTTCCTAGATATGTGGAAACCATCATAACTGTTATTAAAGTAGAATGCCACTGTCTCCTTTTGCCTTATCCACCTTTCTAACTCTCACACAGCATTCTAATGTGGTTGATTCATGACAGGATAGTGATTCAGCAGGTAAATTGAAAAGAGGAAAAGCAGTTCTGATGCGATGGATTGTTCTGTGGGAAAGAGGGCAGTTTTATTTTGCAATAAGTTGGTGGTAGATCTTAAGTGTTTTGTCTGTCTTCTTGGCAGCATGCATTGACATTTTGGGGGATTCTTGACAGGACTGACAGCTTTGAGAACCCAGTTTTGCAGCAGCACTTCAGGAATCTGGAGGCTTTAGCACTGGATATGCTGGAACCAGAACAAGCTGAGGATCTTACAAGTGAGAATTATTGGTGGATGTGAAGGGAGGTGGGAGACTGCTGACTTTGTTCTAAGTCAAATATGTGCTACTGCAAACCCAAATGTCTTTTAAAAAATATTTTAGAATGTGTGGTTCCATGATGTAGAATTCTGGATGTGTCCATTCTGAAATACTGAAACCGTACTTTCTAATACTGTCACTTTTAAGGTAGAGAAAAAATTGCTTACTTTACCATCCAAAATGAAAATTGAATCAACTTTTTTCTGTGGTGACAAATGTTTTCTCTGAAATTCCTCTCTTCAAGATTCTCATTAATACTTTAGTCTGATAAAAGGGCAGAATTAAGAGAATTATTCTACTGGGGGCCATTGTGCCACCGTGTGGCTGTGAGAGTTTATTATGTAAGAATATCTGCTCCTGAAGGGGAATTTTTTTTTTAAATTATGTTGTTCTCCTGAAATGGTCTTAACAAACAATCTAGGTCCCTCTGCTAGCTGTCTTAGAAATACATGACAGAAACAGGCTGTTCTGCCTCAAACTACTTGCAACCTTTGATAGTAACCTGTTGTATTTTAAAATTCTGAGACTAGACCTGGTAGCAGTGTAATTAGGGAGAAGATCTTCTATGTCACTTCTACCATGTAAGTTTTGTTCTGCATATATATATATATATATCTGTCTATCTTGCAGGGAAGTGTGTGAGTCCATTACATATGTATAGTCACAGAATAGGTCAGGTCGGAAGGGACCACAGTGGGTCATGTGGTCCAACTTCCCTATTCAAGCAGGGTCATCCTAGAGCACATGGCACAGGATTATGTCTGAACAGTTCTTGAATTTCTCAAGTGAGGAGACTCCACACCCTCTCTGGACAACCTGTTCCAGTGTGTGGTCACTTGCACAGTAAAGAAGTTCTTCGTCATGTTCAGGTGGAACTTCCTGTGTATGAATTCTTGCCCCTTTCCTCTTGTCCTGTTGCTTGACACCGCTGAGAAGAGCCTGACTCCATCCTCTTGACACGCTCTCTTCAAATACTTACACACATTGATAAGGTCCCCTTTCAGTCATCTCTTCTTGAGGCCTAACAGGCCCAACTCTCTCAGCCTTTTCTCGTAAGAGAGATGCTCCTAGTCCCTTCATCATCTTTGTTGCCCTCTGCTAGACCTGCTCCAGGAGCTCTATACCTCTCTTGTAGTGGGGAGCCAAGAACTGGACACAGCACTCCAGGTGTCCAAACTCTTCATATTACCAAGAGCTGTAAACTTGTCATTTGGGAATAGCGTAACACAGGTATTTGCATTTTGCATGCTTGTAAGACACTTGCAGACAAGTTATTACAGAAGCACAACTGTATCTGGTCATGGCCTTATTTAGACTTTCCTGTGTTTGAGAGAGCAAATCTTTTATCTTTTGCCAGTGCCAAAGTATGAACAGATGAACCACAGGCTGGGCAACCTGGTAGAGGAGTTTAAGCAGCTGGTTTATCCCCCTGACTACAATCCTGAAGGGAAGGCTGTAAAGCGAAAACAAGGTAAGTAACGGTAGTGCAGACACAAAACATAGTGTCTGTATGTGCAAGAATTCTCTTTACTGATCTCCTCAATGAAGTGAATTTATATCCAGTGTTGATTCTTAGAGAGTAGAGGATATTGTGGTATCTAATCGGAGAACTGCTGGAATGAGAAACTGCAGAGTGAAGTATAGGAAGTAATGTGGGTAAATGACTGCAAAATATGTATATATAATTTTAGTAACTTTTTGCTTTATGATAGAGTAGTAAAATCATTCATACTTTCAGTTTGTGTTGGTGAGGGAGCAGACTTTTATGCATGGGCAGTTCAGCAAGTCCAAGATGGGCATCTTTAGGGCTCAATGTGTGAGTAATGCTGAAGTACATGTGTAGTTTGGGAGTCTGAAATTCTGCATAAAGTGGGATTTTGTCAGTTAGCTGAGTTCCCTGTGGAATCATTGCATTCTGCTGTCTCCATGAGAATCCCTTAAAAGTTTCATTTGGAGGGTGATCTTTCCATCAGAATACAAAGTTTCACACTTCAGTTAAGATCACTCCTATCAATTAAATATTTACTACATGACTTACCTAGTGACACCTATTTCTTAAAACAAAACATGGAAACCCATGAATGTGTAGCCGTTAAAGTACCATGTGCTAATGGCCATTAACTGTGGTATGTATAAGAAATGTTGATGTCTTTCTATGAAGAAAGTTTTAAGGATCTTTGTGATCTAAAATTTATCTTTCTAGCTTCTGATGACCAAACTGAGAAGAGGCCCAAGGTAGAAGTCTCAAAGGATGAGCTGCAGATTCATGTGCAGAAGGGCACTCTGGGCAAGCTCACTGTACCTATTCTGAAGGAGGCATGCAGACTTTTGGGGCTGAAGGGTGGAGGCAAGAAGCAGGAACTCATGGATGCTTTAATTGAATACTTTAAGGAGCGTTAAGCGTTAAGGAATGGAAGGCCCTAGTTGACTTCTGTCTGCTTGGAATGTTGGTTATCTTTTGTGGATGCTGTGTCTGTTTAATCCTGCTATGAAAGAGAAGGCAACTAAATGTTGCTGTATCTAGCAGTGGAGAAACTTTTTACTCATAGTTGTGAAACATCTCTGCAAAGTTGGATTCTGTTGACAGTAGCCAAAGGCAGAATTAAATTCCCTGTGAACTCAGGTCACCCACTGTACATGGACAGAGTTGTGCCTTCCTCATTTCTTAATAAAAGTTATTTTGGACTTCTTACTTTGAAACTGACTATACCATGTTTGAATCATAAAGACAGCAAAACTCACTTCAGTGTAAGAAAACAGAATGATCTGTCTTAATGGCATCACGTGAATTCAAGCCAGCAGGTCCAGTCTGTGTGCTAAGAGAGGGTATAAATGTGGTGTATTACTCTTCGACTCTCCAAAACAGCTGGTCAGTATCAGTACTAGTAATCAAATTGGTGTTGCAAAGATTACCAGCAGATCATAAAGGAAAAAAAAGTGATTTCTGGGAAACAGTAGCCAATCCTTTGGGCAAAAAGCTAGCACTTTACAAAGCTGCACAGCCAGGTCTTCCATTTTTAAATTGTAATAGCAGAAGCTGGTTTAAAAAAGGAAAAAAATTGTGTTCCCTAGAAGGCTGCAAGCACTTATCCCAATTAAATTACTGAGATGGCATAGAGCTTTTCCACTTTTGTAGTGAATATGACTCAGACTATTGTGCAGGCTTCTGTACTTGAATCTGTGCTTTAAAAATAGAAAAAATAGTTGTGGAAAGTAGCTGTTAGGTACAATATTTTTACTTTTTTAATCATACTTGCAGAGACAGCAACTGGGGCTATGTTTTGGTTTTCTACCCCTGCCACACCCCACCTGTTTTGCAGTGCAAGATGACTAAAACCAATAAACTGTTGTTGCCCTTGCTCTGTGAAACTACTAATTATTTAGCGAAACTCTTAACCTTATACGGGATGCAAACAGGATACCTGAGGTGTTCATTTTGGTCTGCATAGTGTTTTTAGTGTTCAGAGATTCCTGTCTTTGGCACAAAACTATCGGGCCACTTATTGAAGAGTTAAGTCATATATTAAGGTCATGCTGGTGCTGTAGTGTGGCACATGTCTTGGAGCCAGCTGTGACCCCCCCCTCCTGACACTGTGACTGTTCTAGCTGTGCCAGCACACTGCTTACTCCTACCTCCTCAGCTCCTGGAGAGAGCAGCTAGCCCATGTTGAGCTCTGCAGTGCAGAAGCTATGTAATCTGTTATAATTACAATCCGCCTGCATTATAGTAGTTATTTTTAATAAAGATTTGTCTAAGCAATCAATTTATTTTATCCTTCGGCAAAAAAGTTACTGTAAATGCTTGTTTTAGCAAGGCTTGAATTGAATGCAGTGAAATAGTGAGACTATCCTGTCCATAATTCTGTGAATTTAATTCCGCAAATACCCTTATAAATTTCTCTTCTGGCTTACTAACCCCCTGGCACAGCACATCCCAGGCTTTGGATAATTGTGGCATGTTTGTTCTAGGTTATTAGATCTTCTTCCTGGCTTTTTTTTTAACAGCAGGCTATCACATTAAGCAGAAGTTTAAAAGGGATAATGATGGAAGGCTTCAGAGCAGAAAAAGAAAACAGTTTTGCTTGCTCAAGAATCCTTTATTTCTGCTCCTTTTGTGCTTTGTCTTACATCAGCTGTCTTGGTACAACAGGGCAAATCCTTGGCAAAGCTGTGGTTCTAAACACAACTAGCTCAACAGTCAGCATCAGTAGAAGGGAACAGCAGCCTTTCTAAACCTCATACAATTGAAAGGACTCTAAAAATACTTGTAATAAGTTCACAAGGATTACTGTTATCAGCCATTTACAAAAACATACAGACACGATGTCTTCAGTATTTCATGAGCTGATTTCACCTGCTTGGGATGTACTTACTAAAGGTATGAAGTTAGTGCCTGTGGAAACATTACAGGTAAATTTATTTTTGCCTTCTGCTGTTGCACCTATTGGTGTTACCTGTTGTTGTTTCCACTCTACTTTGCTTTGGCATCGTGCAATAGGAACCAGGTTTGATATGGCCCATTCCAACACAGGGCTTTAGACACTTCTGTTCAGAACAGTAAGTGGATTTATTATACAATATGCATTTAACTAAAGCTAGTTCAATAAAACCACCACTAATCCAGAATGCTGGTGGTGCTCCATGTTTTTCCAGAACAAATGATCTAGCATTCTCTTCTTGAGACACAAGTTGATTTTTTTGAAAAATTACTTGCCGTCTGCTTCCTTGGCTGTGACTTACAGGGTTCATCTTCAGTCAGGTGACCACAGTGCAGTAGCTAAAAAGCATGACATACTTCTTATAATTATCAGCCAGATGTAGGGTACTTGTCAGCCACAACAGGCTGCCCTCTACCATGGGTTTTGTACTTAACTTCTCTAGGAAGCCCAAGCTCAGTGATAACAGTCCATGCAAAGGAAAGTGAAGGAGTATGAATTACTCCACTGCAACAGCCTTTAGGCAACCTCTGAGTAGTTTAGTTGTACAAGTAGAAACATTCCAGTTAGTTGCAAATGCTTCACCAAGGGAATGACAATTATATTTAGCTTTGTCAGCATTTTTATTTTTTTCTTAAAAAGTCAGTACTTAAAAATAATTGAGATAAGACATTTCCCCTTGTGTACTGCCATAAGATTTCTGTTCTCCATACATCTCTTAGAGAAGTCTTGTGTCTGGTTTCAAGAACAAGGACTGTGCTATAAGTACCAATCTTGGCTCCATCTGCTGCTACACAGTAGCTGCTGCCCGCCTTATACACGGCCTACAATGCCCTGTCACTTAAGGTGGGAAACCCACAACCCTTTTCCTCAGCAGCCAAAACTGTTCGGAAACACAGTTACTCACACCTGTTAGAGGCTGAAGCTTAGCAGAAATACTTCAATGCAGAGAAAGCTGATGGGTGGGTTAAAGAAGCCCTGAGCAGGCAGACAGGGAAATAAGGGCAGCGGGGGACTTTTTCTTTCTTTTAAACATAAAAGAGGATACAGTTTTACGATCACTTTTTAAGAAGTAATACAAGGAGAATGAATGTGTTGGGGTAGAATAATAGAAAAGTGGGGAGACGGGGCAGAAATGCTAAGAATTAAACCATTATTAAACAAAAATGTGGCATTTTGAAGCACTGATATCAAAACTATCATCTCAACTGAAGCTAAACATTAATGACCCCTAACTTCCACTTTCCTGTTCCACACACATTTAAACTCATGGGCACTTAGACCAACAGTCTTTCTATAGCTTGCTGGACAGACTGGATCTGAGGCTTTAGCTGTGATCCCTCCTTGATGGTGATGGAACAGGCGATGACAGGCCGGGAAACACCACACGCCCGGCCCAGGGCTTGCTTGGACCGCACAAATACATAAGGTACGTTCTTGTCCTCACAGAGAAGAGGGAGGTGCAGGATGATCTCCAAGGGCTCTGCATCTGCTGCCATCACAATGAACTCCGCAATCCCTCTGTTCAGTGTTTTGGTGGCTGTAAAAGAAACAGAAGAGTCAGTCTAGGTCCTTCTGGAAAGCACATCTAATGAAAAACAACTTTAGAAGATGCTGAAATTGGTATCAGTGGGAAGGAGAGCTCAAGGTAGCATGAGGACAGCCAAAGGAAAGTGGCAGCTGTAGGGCCAGGGAAGGGGTTATTCACAGGGCTGCTGGGGTGCTGTGCCCAGCACTGCCATCAAGTGCAGTGGAGAGACTGACAAAGGAGCAAGGCCAGCCCAAGGCTGCTGATGGGTACGGGGCTGGAACCCACCACGAGGGGAGATTGAGGGAGCTGAGTTGGTTTAGCCTGGAGAAGAGAGGGCTGAGGTGGGAGTGGTGGCAGCATGGCTGCTGTCTTCTACTTCAGGGGGATTGCAGACAAGATGAAGCCACACTGTCCTTGTGAGTGCACAGGAGAAAGCACAAGTTGCAGACTGTGACTGTTGCCTCAGTGAGATTCCAAGGGCATAGTGTAATTTTATATCCGCCATGCCGTGAGAGGTGTTTAAGCCATGGGACATGGGTCCTAAGAGAATACTGAGTTTCCATCCTTAGGGATTATGTTTTTTTAAAAAGTTTGACTAAGCAAAGCCCCAAGCAACTGTGAAGGGAGCCACTCTCTGAGCAGGTTGCACTAGAGGTACCCTTTAAATGCAAATCATTTTATGATTCTGAAGTGGCTAGACATCTGGTAAACCCAGTGCCACACCACTGAAGTATGCACGATACAGGACATGCACCAGGAACACAATTTGGGAATCTACCAGAATCGCATATAAATGTTGAAAAGATTACAACTTAATTCTGTCCCTGAGTATTGCTTAAGCAAGCTTGAAGGAGGAGGAAAAAGACACACACTTGCAATAGCCAGATCAATATAGAATGAGTGGTTCACAGCTACAGAGAAAAGACAATCTCTATCCACAGCATCTCACAAAATCCTTGCAGTGACTTCTAGCACACTTTGCAACACACAGGTCTCACCTTCATTGGCTCCCTTGCGTAGCTGCTTATAGTTGCAGGATTGCTGCACAAGATCCAGCAGTGTTTTGGTGAGCTGTGCATCAGCCAGCGGGTAAGCTTTGGGATTCACTTCTGCCTCACTCTAGAGAAAGAAAGAAGTAGTAAGTATTACAACAGGAGCAAAGGGGGCTTTGTTCTGAGCAACACTGCACAGACATCATATCCATCACATATACTGACTAGTGGAGTCATATCACTGCTCTGCACATGTAGCAGAAATGCCACTGCATTTTACTTCTACAAGAAGGGTTCCTGTATCAAAGTAAAGGGGATAAATAAGAAACACATCCCTCACATCAAAGTAAAGAGCATCTCTACTCACACATTCACACCCTACAAACCAGCAACAGTGAACTTACAGGGCAGTCTTCAGGCGTTCGCTACCACAAAGACTACATAAAACGAAGCGTTTCAGTGCACAAATTAACAATCTGACATATATTTTAAAGAAACTCCCAGGAGACCACGTATCAGGTTTATTTCCGCAAATCAGAAATAGCTTCTAAACGTGACCATCAGTGGTGGGACGGAACAGCAGCGAGGTCACAAGCGATGTTCGCCGGCGCTGGCAGAACCGCGGCCCGTCCGGCCCCCGGCACGGCGCGGGGGTGACCCAGACGCCGGGTCTCCCGTCACCAGGTGCCCCCAGCACCGCCAGCGCCGCGAGTTCCCTCCCGCCGCCACCAGCCGCACCCC